TTAATACGTTTTACAATATCTTGCTCTATTGTTTCCATAACAAAGAAAAATGAAAGATTTGAGTTAAATGTGGACTCATCTTCTAGAAGGATGAGGACTGAGGGACAAGAAAGGGAAGACATTAATATTGTTTTGTTTTTTTTTACCAATGGAACACCCTCCCTCAACTATGATTGTAGGTGAAATCCCAAAACTTTCAAGAATTCATTTAAGATGTTCGTGATTTTTAGACAATTCCATGATCTGTCTCTCAAGTTTTGTTTCTTCACTGGGTTCTACTCAGAACATTCCTTTACACAATAAACTCTTTAGTCAGTTTCATAAGCATTTATTTCATGTGACATTTATCGTATGTTTAGATGTATCACATATCTCTCTACCTAGATCAGGAACTTATTAAGATTAGAGATTTAGTTTTATATGTGTTCACTTCTTTTACAGTACTTAAAGAACAATGTACCTACTGAACTAATGTATTTTACTTTGAGATGAAGGGGAAAAAATGAAAATTGTTGCTGTTTGAAATGTACAAGTATATTTCAATTGCCTCGAATAGTATCGAGATAATTTCTGTAGGCAGTCTCAATTATTTTGTATTATATTAAGCTTGATTTTCATCAATATTTGTAATAAATCAGTATGTTTTACCATGCTATAAAAATTATTAATGGTTAGTTTTTCACCAGAAGCAAAGATCCAAAAGAAATCAGTTTTAGAAGTTCGCAAGTCCTTTACCCTTTGTATTATTCCTTAACTTGTTCTTCAGAGGTTTGAGATACTAACTCATGGAAAGAAAGAATGGCTGTAGATTCATAGGCACTGCAAAATAAAATTGGAAATCCTCATTAAAGTGTATATGAGGAGGAATGGGAGGAACAGATTGGAGGAGTGACAAAAAGTAACATCTCTGAGAATAAACTCATCATGAAAGGTGTTATGATATTTGTTCCATGACTTTTAAAAATGGATTGATAGTAACCTGTGTTTAGCTAATGTACTCTAATAATAGTAACTTGCTTATATAAGTGATTTATACACCTAGAAACTGAGATAATCCTTTTCTCCAAGGAAACTGAAGGACAACAGTATTAAGTAATTCATTCAAGACCACATTGATAGTAATTCAAATAAACCAGACTCTTACCTATCTTTTGATATCAAATCCTTGGTCTTTAGACTCCAGATACTTCACTTAAAGATAATTGTATTAACACTCTCTGAGAGAAAGCTCTAATTTTCAGTTAGTTTTCTTTGATCGAATGGACCTATTATTTTTTAAACTTGAATAGTGAACAGCCACAATTCATCCTCTGTTCTCTGACATTCACTGTGCCTTAAGTAAAATTTTATATATTCTTAGTTCATATGAGTTATTTGTAAAGAAGATTTTAATTCAATTTACTTTCATTTAATTTATAATTACCTGACAATAGTCTTTTCTTTTTAACTTTTTTCTTTTTTTTGCAGCTATAATTTATTTTTAGCAAGAAAGTAAAAGAAATATCATTTGTCATTGCTTATTATACATCAGACATCTCCCTGAATGATTTTGTAGACATTGTTTAATATAATAATGTATCTTTAAAAACAAGATACATTATTGGGCTGCCTAGATCTCAATATCCACTTGGCCAGGCTCGGAGGCTCAACCTGTAATCCCAGCACTTTGGGAGGCTGAGGCAAGTGCATTTCCTGAGCTCACGGGTTCGAGACCAACCCGGGCAGCTTGGCGAGACCTCATTTCTACAATAAATACAAAAAATTAGCCTGGCATGGTAGCACGCACCTGCAGTTCTGGCTACTTGAAAGACTGAGGCGGAAGAATCATCTGAGCCCAGCAGGTTGGCGCTGGGGTGGCCAGGAGCGTGTCACTGCCCTCTAGCCTGCGCAACAGAGTGAGATTCCAACTCAATAAAAAAAAAAAAGACATCTCATAATTCAACATTCACTCAACAATTTTTTAAAAATAAATGGCTATTATAAAACAGGTATCATGCTATGATCTGGGAATACCAAAGACAGATCAAATAGATTTGCTGATCTTGTGGAGTTCTTTCCAGTCAAGAAGATAAGGATAAAAATATGACAGGTGCTATGATACTACAATAAAATTTATAATTAGTCATTCATTGGTTGCATCCTGTGCTTGGCACTTTTAGGTGCTAGGGAAATGGCAGTGAACCAAACAAACAAAAACCTCTACCCATCCAGAGCTAATATTCTAAGATCCTAAGTTTAGACCCTAAGAAGTTTTTAGATCCTAAGGAGGATCAATCATTTGGAGTCACAAAAGCTTAAGTAAAGAAGGTAGCATTTCTTTCTGGGTATTTAAAAAGACAAGCAAGCTTTAATTGACAGATAAATGTCTACTAAGAATCTTTGGAGCATCATTTACATATCAGAATGATAAAGTAAACATTGAAAATGGAGCTACTTTTTAGTTTTTAGCCTCCTAACCTATAAATAATGCATTTGATAGTTGTAGGTGGCAGCTTTCCACTATCAGGGTCTTTCTGGAGCTAGCCAGTTCCTAAAACTGTCAGTTCTTCATGTCTGCACTATCACGAAAGATAAATTCATTTAAAGCTAAGTAAGGTAGAATGGTACAATTTGTCTCACTTGATTCAGTAGTAATGTCTTCAATTCTGTAGTGTACGTTAGATCAGAACAGATTTTTCTTTCTTAAATGGAAGACTCTCAAGGATGTCAAACTTGTTTTTTCTGTTGTTCAGTCTTTCAATTCCAGTCTAAATGCGCCTTGTCCATCTCATTCTTTCCTTGTGCAAAGATATTCCCTTGATGTTCCCTACACATTAACTTTGGTGAACCATCATAATTTTGGATAAACCATATCTTCAAAAATGATATTGATGAAGTTATTTAAGGGCTGGATTTTCAAAATGAACAAAAACATGTCCCCTTGAAACCTTAAGTTTTGATGTGAAATCAAAAAAGATAATTAATGAATGTGGAAGGCCCTTTGAAAACTTCAAATGTTAAAACCTTGTGAATGCCTACAATTGATTTTATTCATATTGTTAATGTCAATGATTAGGGAGATAACTATTAGCTTCAAGTACTATTTCTCCTTCTACCATGAGCTTTAACTAGTTTTGTAGATATTTAAAATTAGCAAAAATTATTGTATTCTCTAAGTACATTCCATGTAAGCCCACCTGTTAATCTCTTTGTACCCTTTATAAAACTACTTATCTCCTTACGTAGTCTTCTTTTATTATTGGATTTTTTCTCAACATATTTTACTGATTCTACTTTGTTTATTTCATAAACAATTATTGAGTGTCAACACTGTGCTAGTCTCTAAAGAAATGGACATGTAAAAGTCTCCATCAAATTAAGGTGAGGAACAATACCGATCATTATATTAGAAGTTGGTAATTTTGCGATAAAAATATTTAATGTATCCTCTATATATCTAACCTAGTCTTCCTTTTCTTGGCATATCACCTTTTGATCATTTTTCTTAAACTTTAATATGTATACAATAATCTGAATAGCATATTAAAATGAAGATTCTCAAGATCTTCCCCCAGGGAGATTCAGCAGGTCTAGGAATCTGCATTTTCATAAAGACTAGGTGTTCTGGCAACTGCTAACCCTTGAACTTTGGGAGAATTCTTTCCTAATCTTTCGCCACAAATATTAATTATTCAATCCTCATAAAAATATATGAAGTAGGTACTATTATTATATTCCTTTTACAGATGAGGACACTGAAGCTCAGTGACATTACCAATCATCACACAAATACTATCTGATATAACGGATTTAAAATCAGGTAGACTGACTCTAAGGTCCAGCACAGCACTCTACAAGTGTTGCCTTTCTGTTAGTCAAAAGTATGTCCTGTGGACCTTTTGTTGCTGCCATTCGTATTAGAATAACTTTCAGTAAATTACACCAATAAATGGAAAAGAAACAAACACAAATGATCTCAAAATCAAAAAAAAGAAAGCAAGAAAGAAATGCAAACATACATAGAATAGTTTTCAGTATTTTTTAGGTGAAAGATGTAGTTAAACTTTCCATTACAAGAGATTTCTAGTAAAGAAAAAAGACCCTAATAGACACTTAACAACATAGAGTAACATAGTAACATATCTCATATTCTCAGAAGAAACGATAACTCCACTTACATTTTTTTTTTTTCCAAAATGTAAGCTTCTCCATGTTAAGAATGAATTTCTGAGTCAAAAAACCAGGCTTCATTCCAGTACTTTGGGAGGCTGAGGTGAGATTGCCTGAGCCTGTGGGTTCGAGACCAGCCTGGGCAACTTGGTGCGACCTCGTCTCTACAATAAATCAAAAAATAAGCTGGGCCTAGTAGCACACTCCTGTAGTAGTTCCAGCTACTTGGAAGGCTGAGGTGGAAGGATAGCCTGAGCCCAGCAGGTTGAGGCTGCGGTGACCTTGAGTATGTCACTGCACTCCAACCTGGATGACAGAGTGAGACTCCAACACACACACACATATACACACACACACACACACACACACACACGCACACACACACACACACACACACACACACGCTTCTAATTCTAATTCTAGCCTGTTATTTACTTGCTTCACAGCTTATAGCAGTTTGCTTACTTTACTTAATTCTCAGTTTGGTAAATATTAAATGCCTGGAATATAGCAATCTCCTAACAATCAGTACTGTACCTATTTGTGTTATTATATGAGTAGTAACAGACTTAATTTAGCAGATTATAAAAACAAGTTTAGACAAACTTCTTTCGGCAAAATAAATTTATTATCAAAGTTTAATTGATGTGGATTCTTTTTCCTTGTAACAGGTAAGATTCAAATACACCTGTATATCCTTTTGTCAAGTGACAGAAAAAAGAGAATCGTCATGATACTCACCTCTGTCTTCAATGGACTTTCTGATTTATAACTTAGAGTCATAATTGCAAAATGCTTATTTTGCTCCTTTGGGATGTCTCTTCTGAGATGGACTCATTTATCTTCACCAGGTGATCAGCCCAATACTCATCAGCTGCTAGCTATGGCATCACACCTGCGGGAGAGTGCCGAAATCTTTCAGTCAGATGAGATGCGACCTGCTAATGATCCCAAAGAAAGAGCTCCCATTCGCGTCCGGATGCTGAACGACATTCTTCAAGACATGGAGAAAAGCTTCCTGGTACAGCAGGCACCACCAGGCTTTTATAGGTAGGATACGTGTCTCAAAATTTATATATTTTTGTCCTCAATTACATTTTTATGTTTACCTTTCCAAATATGTACCTTCTGTGAACATCGCTTAACAGTAAAAAACCTGTAAAGCAGTTATTTATAATTTGAGGACTATTGCTCTCCCCCCAAGAAAAGTAAAACTGCATAAAGACAGAATAAAGGAAACTTGGTTTAGCACTAGCAAATAGAAAAAGACTAAGGATTTTTTTTATATTGATTTGAATGAGTCACGTAATAAGGCCGGTGAAAAACAAATGATATTCTAGGTTTAATGGAGAGAAATATACTTGCCCGAATGGATCAGGAGATAGGCCCCAGCTATTTTGTCCTAGTAAGATCACATCTAGATTGTTGTGTTTAATTCTAGAAACTCCACTTTATGAGGGAGTTAAATACATTTACTATTTAGAGGGGAGTGAAATGTAGACAGATTAGAAACAACTGGGAAATTAAGGATATTTGGTTGGAGAGCCACGATGGAGTGTTTTTGAAAGCATTTTAACAGTTATCATGTAGAAGAGAGATTAGATCTGAATTCTTAGAGGACAAGATTAGGACAACATGGTTTCGTTTTTGCAGTTCCAGAAACAGTACAAAACAAACAAAGGGAAAATGGAGTTTAAGAGATTATGATTAAAATGTCTTTATTTTTATTTTTATTTTTTTTTGAGTTGGATTTTCACTCTCTTGCCCAGACTGGAGTGCAGTGGCCGCTCCCGGGCCACTGCAGCCTCGACCTGCTGGGCTCCGGCGATCCTGCCGCCTCAGCCTTCCAAGTACCTGGAACTACAGGCGCGCTCTACCACGCCCGGCTGATTTTGTGATTTATTGTAGAGATGAGGTCTTGCCAAGTTGCCCAGGCGGGTCTCGAACCCATGGGCTCAGGCAATCCCCTCACCTCTGCCTCCCAAGGCACGGGATTACAGGCTGAGCCACCAAGCCCGGCAAAATGTCTTTATTTAATTGATGTTTCTACAAGACACAAGATATAAATATGCATACCTTTCCATGTGTATGTATATAGAGTGGGTATATAAATATGACAATTTAATATATGTTTGAAAATGTGTGGCCCTTTATGAGTGAAAGTTCTGGGCTAAGCAATCCTCCTCCCTCACTCTTCTCCCTACACTTGTTTGTCTCTTGCCTTTTTAAATAATAAACCTTTTATTAGACATACTGTGCATGACCAAAGGATAGAACTAGGACTAAAGAATTGGTGCACACGTATAGAAATCTTAACTATGTATGAGAAAGAAGTTTCTAACAAATAATGTTTTTAAAAGACTAAATGTGGTGCTCTTATAAGGTAATGAAAACACTATCACTGCAGATGTTAAAAGAGTGGCTGGGAAGTCCTAAGCACCTGAATACTGGACTACATCAGGTTTAAGGTGACTTTTATTATCAAAGTTCTGTGATCTGACAGGTCGCTTAATCTCTCCACATACTAATTTTTACATCTATAAAGTAAGATGATGGAATAATAATAAAATACCTTTTCCACTTCTGATATTTGGTGATTTTCCTTTATGATTTTAAACTCAAATTCACATATTAAAATTCATATTTTACATATTTTTCCAACACCATGATTCTGTATCATGAAACTTGGAAAAATATTCATTTATAGATATTGTGAAGGCACTTTATATACTTCATGTATTTTTTTAAGCATCAGAGACATGCAATCACCTCGTTAAAAGCATCTCTCCTGATGAAGTGTATTCTAATGGTGGAGATGGGGAAGCAGAGTGAACAAAGAAGTAAATATGGTAGAATTATACCTGCTAAGGAGAAAAATTAAACCACATTAAATCCAGCATTACTAAACAGTACTAGACTAGGTAAATTATGTTTTTATAATATATATAGTAAATTATTCTATTTCCTTTACTGTTAATTTAAGAAAAATTCCGAAATGAATAAAACTCATGTGTGAATAATATGGTTTTGGGTATGATGGTATACTAGCCTTTTTTCCATTTGCCTCTCTTGGACTTGCACTAGAAAGACCCCCTATGATATGAGTTATTCATCCAATAAACATTTTAGTACCACTGTAATAATATTTATGAACTCAATTTACTTTATCATGCATTTTGAGTAGAAAAGTAAATGTCTGTCTGCCTCATGTTAAAAAATGCTTAAACAAGTGATATTTTTCCTGTTAGTAATATGATTGCAGAATATCTAGTGTTCTCATTATGCAAGCTTCATAATGTTGATTATAATAGTGTTCTAACTCATATGTCAAACCTTAGGATAGAAAGCTTTTGGTTCAACATTTTGGCATTGTACTAAATTATTACTATAGGATTAAAAGGATACATGTCTATCATTCTTTTCTATGAATTCAAATGTGTCAAATATTATAAATAGATTAGTTTCATTTTGATGTATCTGACTGACCTTTATTTCAGGATTGTCATGAATTTGTACTTCATTTATGATCTATATAACAAATCATCCTACTTCATGTCTTTCTCTTGGTAAAGAATTTACATTTTTAAAAATTATTGATGCAAATATTTCAAAATTACAATAGAATTTCTGCTATTAATCCTCTTAAGCACATCCTTTATGAGGGAGGAAATATTTAAAGTAAAAATTTGAGTTTCAGAAAATGAAAAGCAATCTTGAGTATAACTACAATTATGTAAAGAAAAGAAAAAATGGTTAATTGCATTATAAAGAAGGACATTTAGTGAACAGGGTTTACTTTTTAATGTTTAACAGTTTTTAGAGATGTTATTCACATCTCACTCACCAACGAATTGGTGTTATGAAAATTGTTATCAAATATATAAGGATTAAGTAATGATTTGCTTTTTAAGAAAGTTGTTGACAGAAGTTTACAGTACAAAGCTAAATATTGCATTTGGTATTTGTTTCATGCCTCCATAGAACCCTATCTCTATGAAAGTGTCACTAAATATTGAAATATATTATTTTTAGAATATGCAGAAGCATTTTCTCCATAATTTGACACCAGAAGAGTCAAAGAGTTTTAATCCTATGATACTACCTCTAAAGCTGACTGCAATTCATATAATTAAACCCTTATTCACCATTGCTCTGTGAAGTACAGCTGAAAACTTGCTGTATAGAATTCCTAACTTCAAGGAGCTTAAGCTAATTCAAGAGGTAAAATGCATAAATCATACATCAAGTAAAGCTCCAGAATACTTATGCAAAGTGCCCAATAAATGCTACAGTCAAGAAGTACTTTTGGGATTCAGTGAAGAAGGAATTATCTTGTGGCAGTCAGGAGAAACTTCATAGAGAAAGAGAGAGACTTACTGGGTTTGAGGGGTAGGTAGTGTGCCATTAAATTCGCGAGCATTTCCAGGAGGATGGTGTGAAGAAAGACACAAAAGAGAGTTGGTGGGTGATAAGCTAAAGAGTGGAGAATACGAAGTAAAATAGTTTGAGTGACTTACCGGTTTTGTGTTTATGGAACAGAAGATCGGGTCAAGTTGTGGAGTCCCTTAAATGCTCTGTTGAGAGTCGGGCTTTATTTTTCACACACACAAAAGCCACACAGAAATCTATGTTGTTAGTAGGATTTATCTGGTGCTCCTGATAGGGTGCTCTGGAGTCGAGAGAGCAGAAACCTTCAGGAGGATTGTGGGGGTAAGAAAGATGTGGGTGAAAAGAACATGATTTGACACGTTGGTGTCAGGAATGAAGAGAAAAGAACAAATTTGGAAGACGATGTTAAGGAAGACTTGGTTAATTTAGGGATGGAGTGGCTCTGAGAATTTTATTTCAGGTTGTTTTTAGGATTCCCCTCAGACTAAGTGGGAAAAGCAGGGTTAAGCAGTGGAAAGAGCCTTCTCTCTGTCCCATTTGCCCAGCCAGTTAGGTAATGCATCAGTCAGTGTCTCCAGGTAAGTATATAAATATCTGTTAAAATAACTTCTAGTCATTTCTACCTCCAAGACCATGATTCAGTGGAAACTCACATTATTAAATCTCACTATCTCTATTTTCAAGGGACTTCTAATCCTGAGTAAGGGCAGAGAAAAAGATCACAAGGGTAGACCGCGGGTGGCATAAAAGAAAAAGCTGCCAAGAGCTGAGGCAGAGCTGAGCTTAGGTGGCAGTGGGAAACAGGTGAAACCAAGGCCCACCAAGTCAGGGGCCACGAAAGGAAAGTACATTGACAATCACAGAGTATCACAAAATGTCAATCCAGCAATGTAAAACTTGACTCATTGCCCCTGAGTAGGGAGGGGGTTATGTATTTTCTTCAGAATTCTAAATCTCCTGTTTCATTCCTTCCTTTACTCTGATTCCCATAGGAACTACCCAGCCACTGCTAAGGACTGGATGTGTCTGGAGAGATGGTCTCTTGGCATCTATGTTTTGTTGTTGAATTCCTCTTTACCCCTATAGTTATTTCTTTGCAAAAACAAAGTGAGGGCTTTGACCAGGTGAATCTGTGCATTCCAAGTATAATGTACAAGGGGGGACCTCTTCCCAGAAAACACAATTATCTTTTGGAAGGCAGCTCTTTTGTAGTACAGGCTTCCCCCTCTAGGAGCATGTCCCGTTGGCATCATTGCATTGTTGTGAGAGGCTAGTGGTGTGAGAGGCTACATTCAGCTTCAGTGATTTTTTTTTTTTTTTTGAGATTCTTTCAGTGCGTTTGACTATTTCATGATGAGTGATTTACAAGTGCACCTGCCCACACTTCACTGAGTGTTCTGCAGTTTTTGACCAAAACTGGCAGGACCCTGGTGCCCTACCATCCCTATTCACCCAATCTTGCCCTGAATTACTTTTTTCTGTTTTCCCAAATGAAAAAAAGTCTTAAAGGAAAATGTTTTGCCGATATAGAAGAGGTGAAACAAAAAATGGCAGAAGCACTAAAAGACATCAAAATTGACAAGTTCAAAAACTGTTTTGAGCAGTGGAGAAAAGTCTCAATAAGTGTGTTACCTCTAACAGAGAGTACTTTGAAGATGACT